TCCGTGGTCGATGGGTAAATTTGTTGACTTGCCCCCCTAATTGCCCCTTTACCCCCAACAAGGAAATTTTTGATTTTTTTTTTTCATTGGGGGGAAAAAAAATTGAATAAGGGGACTGACGGCGTTTCAATTTAAATTTATTGTTTATTTCCTTTAAAAATATGCATGGAAAAGGGGACCTAGGTCTTCCCCCCAGTTTAAGTCAGGGAAGGGAAAGACATTTTTATCCTTTCTCCCTTCATTTAACGTAAAAAAAATCCCAATTTTAAAAAAAATCAATACAAATTATTATAAATTTTTTTTAAAATTTAATCGATGTACCCGTTTTTTTGACCTACACACATAAAATGTTTTTGTATCCATGATATTTATTAAATTTGAAATAAAAATACGGTTCCCAATTTTATTTTGGGGTGGGACTTACCCATTTGTAATAATTAAAAAAGACATTACATTTAAAAACAGGGAGCATAATTTAAAAACACCAAAGGGTTTTGGGGCGCCCAAAAATTTTTAAACTAAAATAATTGGGAAAAACAGAACAACCACTCACTGTTTGAATGTAGGAACACCAAAATAAATATCAGCGTTTCCTTCAACTGTTTAAAAAGTTTTTTCATTATTTTTCTGATCTCACCCCCTATCCAGAATTACCTTTGGCTGAAAACTTCATAAAAAAAATTTTAAAAAAGTTTTAAAAAACGCAAAGCTTTGATATAAGAGCAAGTTTAAAAAATTTTGGGCTTTAAAATTCATTCACAATCAAATCGGGTTAAAGCTTACCAAGGAAAAATTGTTTGATATTTTTCCTTGACCCCAAAATAATCTGTATAAGATTTTAAAAGGGTTCGTAAATGTGCCCAAAAATTTTAAAAAAAAAAAAGTGAGATCATTTGATTTCCCGACCGGGGAGCACGGGGTTTTTTACTCTACCACCTTACATGTTGAATGCCTGTAAAAATATTTTTGGAAAAAAAAAAAGGAATGGGAATGATAAAAATTTACATTTAAAATCCCTACATTTTAATTTTTAAATTTTTTAAAAGGCGGCCCAAATTTAAATTACTGTATTTCCCTTTTTAAAAAAAAGGGGGCAAAAAACCAAACAGTAATTCGATTTAGATTTATTATTACTAGCTATTTAGAAGGGAGGGAAACCTTTTTTTATCCCCTTTTTTCGTTTTTTTTCGGTTTTTAAAATGATATCAACTAAATCAATAACAAAAAGCGAACTTCTCCTTTTAAATTTTTGGTTTAAAGATAAATGGGATTTGTGTAAGCATACGGGGTAAACATTTTTGTCTTCCCTTTTTCCCGAGTTGTCCAGAAAAGTGTTCGGGAAATTTTCATTATCCCCCCAAAAAATGAAATTTCCGATTCCTCTCGGACGGAAAGGGCAATTTTGTCTATTCTTTAGCGCTTGAAAAATGCCCAAAGTCTAATAACATATCTCGGGAAACCCTCTGGTTTTCATCAAAAACACTGTCCCGCCGTTATGTTGGCAAAAGGGCGACAAAACAAAACAAAATCGTTTTCGAACTAATGGTTTTGGGTAGGGGCTTTACTCCCCGGGAAAATTTTTGAGCTTAAATCCTGTACTAAAAACCCAAATTTCCTGTATAAATGGGTTTTAAAAACTGGGGGCACCGTCCCCCACGACACATCATCCATGTCTTTCCCATAAACGGGGGAGTAGTTTTTTTATTTTTTGAATAGACAATATCTCAGTTCTTGATTTTTTTAAAATCTTAGCCAAAAAAGGAATTGCAGTAAAAAGGCTGGGGAACAATAAAGTATTCATAAAGGAGTCCATACTTATTTAAATCGAATATATCACTTTAACAAGTTCAAAAGCCCGCACAAACATCGTTGTTTTTTCCCCTTTTTCCCCTTTTTTGCTCCTTCAGTCAATTTACAGGACCCATACTTTAACTAAACTCGTTTTATTTCGTTTTTAAACACCTCAAGTCCCTTTTGTTTTTGGGACAAAAGAAAATTTTTTACGTTTTTGCAAAACAACACCGTTGTGTAAAAAAATACGTCTTTTATCAACTGTTGTTTATTTCCAGTGCGTTGTAGAGCTTAAATAGATTTAATTCATTTCCATCTACGCATTGGGCAAGCGTTACAGGGGGAAACACCTTTCGGGAGGAGCTGTCGAGGAAAATTTGAGTGTTTAAAACAGTCTGGGTTTCTTCTTCCCCTTAAAATAAATTTATCAAAAAGCTAGCTAGTTACAAGGTTCACGTTTTATAACCAGCTTATCGAATATTCCCCTTAGTTTAATTTTGTTCCTTTAAAAATTAAAATGATATCAAATTACAAAATTTTCCAATTTTTCCCCCACTTTGGGGTTTTAAAAACAAAATTTTAAGGGTTTTTATTTTTTCCCGCCCTTTTCTGAAAAAACACAATATTTGTAACAATATAGACGATTAAAAACGAAAATTCTTTATACACGTTTTCAAATTTTTCATCGTGTTTTTTAATAAAATTTTTTTCTATTAGTGAATTTTTGCTTTAAAAATTTTTTCAATTTCCCAAATTTAAGCTGATAAATTTTTAAGCAAGTATATTTTTAATATTGAACAACCCTTTTTGATCCATTTGACTTACCTCCAAAACACCCAGAAACCCTTTCCCCGTTAGCTCTCGATTTTTCCCCGAAACCCAAATGCCCGTTTAAAAAAGAACCCTTTTGAGTTTGTGCATTAAAATCTTGACAACCCCCATTTGCAAAAACGGCCCCTAAATATCTAGAAGAACCAATTTTAGATTTAAAAAAGACTGAACTTTATTTGAAACTTATCAAATTTTTAAAAAGCATGGGTTGTTTCTGCCGATTTAAGTAAAGACATTTTAAAAATTATCACCCAAATTTTCAAACTGACAACCTTTTTTGATTCGTGTTTTTCCCTGAGTTGTAAATTGAAACACAAAATGCTATTTACTGTAATTAATGGAATTTTTCACGTTTTAGCAATTTTAAAAGATTAAAAAATTTGTCGAAATTCTATGTTCTTACAACCAAACAGAAATGATTTTTTTAAAAAACATTTTATTTTGGTTTTGTAAAAATTTTAAAGCAATGCAGTGGTTTTTTTCCCACATCTTTCGACACACCCATGTTTTAAAATCTTGCATTTTTCTGTCAGAAATTTTGGGGAACCTTTTGTCTCACTGGGCATAAAAAACAAATTAAACAATTTTTTATAAATTCGGGTTTTCCCTTCTTTAAAATGTTTCAACGCCCAAAAGTTTAAATCAGCAATTTGATCGAATTAAAAAATTGTATTTTTTAGGGGATTTTTCATAGAAATGTTATTTTATAAACGTCTAATTTAGCTTTGATATTTTTAAAAGCCAGCTTGACAAGATTTTTTTACATCAATTTGTTTGGGGGCATGGCCAACCCTTTTTAACCGTTGACGTGTTGAGCTATATAATTTTTAAAATTTTTAGGGTTTTACTAGGGAAAATTTTTAAACCTAAATTGTGATAGTAAATGAAAAAAAAAATTTTAAATTTTGGGTGACAAAACGTTTTTTGTTTAAACCCTAGTTTTAAAAAGGGTTTTAATGGGCAATTTGGGTTTTAACTTTTTTTAAAAAATTAAATTGAAATTGCAAAGGGCGAAATCAATATCCCATGGGTGACGAAAAAATTTGGAAAATTAGAAAAAAACTTTTTGAAAAGGGTTAAAAATTTTCGCCGTCTCTAAGAGCGGCTTATAATGCTTCATAAAATTTGCACGAACGTGAAAATGTTTTCAGAATATGTTTCAAATGATTAAAAAGTATCAGTAAATAATTAACGTGGGGCCTGTTAGAAATTCTGAGGGAATTTTGTAGAGTATGTTTGCCAATTCAGTCAGTCATCAATAAAGCAACACCGATAACTGTATTTTGAAGAGGAATTTGCTCACTACTGTTCGCAAATGTTTGCCGGCGGGAAAACCTTGTGTCACAAGTACACGTGTATTTATTTCAAAACGCCAATCAACACATGTACCCTTTATTCATGCATACAACACCGTTCACAGTTCATCAAACGGTCTGTAATCTTAATATAAGAATTTGCTTCTTTTTTCTATTGACAACATTTGTTAAAAGAAAATGTCAGAAAATACTTAAAGTTCTTCCGTTTTAAATCAATTATAATACAATTTACATTTTCATTAAATAGTCCAGATGAAGTTGATAATTATAGACAGATTTTCGACCCTTTTTTCCTTTTTCGTCTTTGTTTTATTTCTCGCTTTATTTCTGGTGTCCTGATGATTTGATATACACGCTTAAAATTAAGTTCAGTTACATTTTTAGGGGCGTCCGTGGCCGAGTGGTTAAGGTCGTTGACTTCAAACCACTTGCCCCTCACCGCTGTGGGTTCGAATCCCGACAGGGACTTTGGAGTCTTTCATGTGAGGAAGCTATCCAGCTAGCTTACGGAACGTCGGTGGTTCTACTCAGGTGCCCGTTCGTGCCTGAAAAATGCACGGAGGGGCATCTGAGGTCTTCCTCAACCAGTAAAGCTGGAACGTCGCGATATGTCACCTATACTGTGTCAATGTGACGTAAAACCCAAATAAAAAAACAAAACATTTTAGCCTGTTCGCATATCGAATTCATACTTGCAGATGAATGAAGCTATCTGGAACCAATCATGAACACTATGATACTAGTTAGGTTTCAGTGGAAAGGTTTAAGTTAGAAAAATATAACGATCATATATTTATCTGGTAAAAAATGGAAATTCTGATTGGAATTTTATAAACACATCTATTGCACCTTACTCTTATGTTACCGTAAACTATAATATGAAATTGATTTTAAACTGTATGTGACCGAAGGAATTGGTAGTGAAATGTCGAAATGGTAGTGAAATGTCCACAAACATATTTTTGTGGCTAAAACACAATCTTAAATCAATGGCATATAGTTAGATCAAGTGAGGTGTGTATCTCTGTTTTTTAAAATCGTATATTATTTTATAAATGCATACTAACCTTCACAAGAAATACCATCTGTGTTAAGGTTGAAACCACTATTACAACTACACTTAAAGGACCCAACTGTGTTGTCACAAATTTGAGAGCATAATGCGCTTGACTCCATGCATTCGTCTATATCTATATGAATAAAAAAAGTTGTTTTCTCCATTTATAAATGCAAACCTATAACAGAACACTAACGCACACAGGCACATACACACAAATTCAATAAACAGTATATATTTTCATTGGTATGAATGCTTTCAGCATTAACTTAATATAAATTATAAACAAGAAACAAAATACAAAGTTGCATAGAATAATAGTATGTAATAAGCACGTACATAATTTAACAAGTTAAAGCTATTCGTAACAAAGTAATAACATCATAAACTTATAATTATGTATATTGTTAGTAATAAAGATTTATGACTGCTTCGCTGGTCCTAAATTAAACGATTGCTTGCATATAAAGCCCGAGCCCGATCCGCTTGGCGAAAAAATATATTTTAAACCACAGTTTTTACAGGGCATACCATTGCAAGAATTTATGAGGATTTCATAATGCAGCAAACTTACTTTCTGTCAAAAAACATAGAGATTTCTGCAAAACATTTTATCATCCGTGTATTTAGTTTATATAGAATAAAGAAAATAAGAATCCCTAAAGAAAGTTCAACACAACATAATTGAAAAATGTTGCAGGTTCTGTTTGATTGAGCCTGTTCATGGACGGTACTGTAAAGTGCAAACTATCGTCAACGCTCCTAGCACCGGCTTAAGCAGAATTCAACATTTAAACATGAAATGGTAAAATTTTGAATTTAGAACATCCGCAGATGTGTTCATACGGCGGTTATCATGGAACCTTCAACGTGACACTTCCATGCATTCCATAAAAGCCGGCGTAATTGTCCCCAAGTAATAGAAAGCAATGGGTGCCCTTAAACGAGAAAAAAATGGGGCGGAACTAAAATAAAAATGGAAATTTTTGCAAAGAGGACAGAGGTTATGAAGCCTGCATATCACCAAATAAGACGTCAAAAAGACAAAGTTTAAAAAGCAGGAACATATCGCTAAGGGTGATTCCACACTATTCAAGTAGGAATCTTGGAACCACCCAACCCTAGAAAATGCCGAAAAGTTAAAACTAAAATACCACAAGCACAACAATAATGACGGTGCTGAACGATCTTTAAGGATCGGAAATATAACATCTCTGATTGAATGTACGGGCGACTTTTTTAACCAGCTCCACAAATGGAAAACAAACAACGCTGGAATTGTGCCATAAAAAGGAGAAAATAAGAATCTCTAGAGAAAATTTTAAAAAAATAATTGAAAATGTTGCGCACGGCTCGGTTTTATTGAGCCCTGTTTCATGGACGGTACTCTGCAAAGTGCAAAATATCGTCCACACCCCTAGCACCGGCTTAAGCAGAAAATTAACATTTAAACATGAAATGTTAAAAAATTTTGAGTTTAGGGAACATCCGCAAGATGTGTTTCATACGGCGGTTATCATGGAACCTTCAACGTGACACTTCGTGCCATTTATGAAAAGGCGGCGTATTTGGGCCCCCAAAAATTTGAAAATATGTGCCCTAAACGAGGGAAAAAATAGGCGGAACTTTAAAAAAAATGGAATTTTTAAAGGGGATTTAAGGTTTTTGAAGGGCCCGTATATCACAGATAAGACGTCAAAAGACACAGTTAAAAAGCAGGCAACATATCCTAAGGGTCACGATTTACCAATGAAGAGCGACGTAGCAAATATGCAGTATGATACACATTTATTACATTAGGACTTGGAAAACACTTCAGGTATCAAATTTGTTGTGTTTTTTTTTTTTTTTTTCATTCTTTAAACATTCATTGAGAAATCTAGTAACTTACCTTCATATATATTTATAAACGTACCACTTACCTTCACACACTTCGCTATCTGTACTTGAAAACACAGCTTTGTATCCGTTTTGACATTCACACCTGTGTGAACCTGGCTCATTTATACATGTTTGAGCACAGCCGCCGTTTCCAGTGTCGCACTCATTCACGTCTTGATAATATAAACATAAGCTTTCAAAAAATGAGAATAAAGATCAACATCGCAAAGCAACGTTCACAGAAAGCAGCCCCCCCCCTCCGACACAATAAATTCAAACCAACACCTTGCTGATTCCATATATCTTAAGACGAATTCTTGCTTTGGTCTAGCTTAGTGCAGTGGATCAGATCATTTGCTTCTTATTGTTATAATAGGAATCCAACAAGACAATTATGAACTTTCCTCTGACAAATTGAGATTACAAACAAATGTACAATCAGCCGATGGTTCTACAACAGGAAAGCTAGGATATCACCCTAATACTGTGTTGGTGAATCACAAAGCAGAAAAAGGCAGTGAAATAGATAAAATGACAAGCGGAAACAAAGAATTACATAGTAACCTCTCTTCATTTGTTATGACTTTAATTTAACTTAGTATTAAAGTTGCCATTTCACATAGTGATAATCTAAAGCTATAAACTGGAAAACATGCAAAAAAAGATATAAATAAGACGGAAACAACCTTTGCAGGAATACCCGGTAATGTCAGTGATATAGCCAGGGTCGCAGTAACATGTGTAAGACCCAGGGGTGTTGTTGCAGTAACCATCACATTTGGCTGTTCCTTCAACACACTCGTCGACATCTAGTCATAAATTAAATAATATATAATTTATGATTGATCATTATCATGAATGGAGTCCTATTCTAAAAATGTACATCTTATACTATAAATATTTTTACTTTCAAGCTTAAAACAAATATCATCTTAGCGCGTATTACAGATCTATCTTATAGATTATAAAAACAGAAAGAAAACTATATCAACTGTTTTTAAACAGTTTTTTGATATTTGATTTGTTTTCCATTTTTTATCAAACAAAGCCGTTAGCTCTCAAATTTCCTAGATTATGTGTAAACGTAAGCTCTTTTAATGTATAAGTAATATACCTTCACACGACCGTCTGTCGACACCTAAAGTATATCCAGTATTACATGAGCATGTAAAGGAACCTTCAGTGTTTGTACATTTATGAGAACAAGCTGCTGTTCCGAGCATGCATTCATCCACATCTAAAACATTTCAAAACTAACAATCACAATGAATTATTAAAAACTGGTTTGGTTACATATACGTGCTTAAAATTCAGTGTTTCATAATTTATCAAAATATTAAAAAACAACAATTTTTTAAGAAACACAGTGCGTTCTGTATGACTTACCGTTACATGATCGTCCGTCAGTACCAAATGTGTATCCTGTCCTACAGCTACAAGAGAAGGATCCGACATTGTTGTTGCATTTGTGACTACATCCTCCATTGTTGACATTGCATTCGTTTATGTCTTATTATTAAAATAACATAGTAATAACAGAAGCTATTTATTGATATATTGCTAAAAAAAATTACTAAACACAGTAATAAATTAATGTCTTAGCACTTAGTCTATATAAACTATTCGGAATATTAAAATGTCCAGCAATATAGGTCCATTTAGTACGAAAATCTACGGCGACGAAATATCACAGGGTATAAAGTCACTCTAAAGAAAATATTTCAATTTCTTAGATGTCGTTAATTATGAAAATGAATACAAATAATCAAAATTATTGATACTATATTTGTAGACAAAACTACAACAACAAGGACATGAAGAATGATATAAAACGTATTCCTCTTACATGTAAGTCATACACATTCTTTCAGATGAAAAGTTTGTCATTCAATATGTTAAAAACAGATTTTGTATTCATAAACATGTTGTAGTTAAAGAAAAATCATTATATATAAAATACTACAGTCTGTTGAAGCAAAATAGATGTATGAAAAGTAGACATGGCTATTTAAGCGAACAAGAATTTTGTAAACATATTTTCTTTGATAAATGTTTATGGCAATTAAGTCTTTATATATTTTCGAAAACTTTTAAGTGTTCATGTAAGAAGATATGGTAGATTCTGATATCGTATAGGTAGTCCATGGCCGAGTGATGAAGGTCGACGACTTCTAACCACTTCCCTTCCAGTTGAACTTGGATTCTGTCATAAGAGTAAGCTCTTCAAGTAGACGGTCGTGTGAAGTTGGTGGTTCTACTCAGCTTATGCCTGAAATAAAACATGGACATGCGCTTGATGTCTTCCTGTACCAGTAAAGCTTAAATTTGAAGCTATGTCCTACGTAGCCAGGACGAGGCTGATAAACTCTCAACTATACATATACTACATTATATACCTTGACATGACTTGAGATCCGAGGTCAGTGTATAGCCTGCTCTACATGTACAACGGTAAGAGCCATAAGTATTGACACAATTGTGTTGACACCCATGACCGCTGCTGTTGCATTCGTTGATATCTTTAACGAAAAGATAGATTTTTATTATAAATAAAAGCCATACTACTGCTTTAATTACATTTTTTTTTATTTCTGAAATCTACATTTAAATGGCTATGTTGCCGACTTGTTCTTAATGCCTGTAACGGTTTTGTTATGTCGGCATTTTTACTTTTAATGACAATGGTTTCTCTACTAATTGATAAGAACTTTTGAGATTTAAACATTAAAACTGCTTCATCTCCTTTCATGGTAGGGGTGCTAATGGGTGATGCAAAATAACTTTATAGACACATTTATTGTAAAAATTATGTATGATTACTGTAGAAATGTCGATTACATTTATCACCTTTGGGATATTTCAAAACTTTCCAATTAATTCACATTGCAACTAAAATGATGCTTTTCACGGGAAATCTAGTCTGTATCTAAGATTAAACTCAAGAGTAATTTGCTATACCAAAGAGACTAATTGTGATTTTATTGAAGTATAATTAAAGTCAATAAAACAGAATTATGGACTTTTTAAAATGACATCTTTTTGACGATTTGCTTCTCATTTAGATTTTGTTTTCAGTGAATATATGAAAATATTTACACTTATAATGCATCAATCTTTTTATATAACGTCAACATCTAAAACAAGTTAAAAGTCACAGACAGTCATTACCATAACACCTGGGCGAGGAAAAGCCACGTGGACAGCTACATATGTCTGGAGATTGGCATGTACCACCGTTAGGACACGAATATGACCCAAAACACGAAGCTATACAAATGATAAAGTATAATATACAACAGTTTATACCTATGATAATGAAAGTAATATTTTACAATTATGGTATATACCAATGGTAATGAACTCATAGAACAACTCGTCACTCATTTTTTTTTCGGAAAGATACATTACTTTTGTTTCAGCTTATAATTTAAACAAATAAGATTCGGAAAATAGGGTAAACTATCAACAGAAAATATTTCAACAAACATTGATTTTAGTTGTTTATTAAATACGCATACAAAGTTTATTAAGCATTAAACATAGTATGTAATACATACAAATAAACATATACACCTACTATGAGAAACAGAACAATTTTCCGGTGAATTTAAATAATTACCAGAAAAATAAACTATTCTAGATTTCCATACAACAAAGATTTATATGTGTCGTCAATATTGTAACATTGTTATATGTTGTCAAGAAATACGTTTCTGATTTGTAAAATACAAAAAATTAGACAATGCTAACAACGTTTCCATTGATCTAGAGAGTAAAATATTATCAAATTCATACCTATTTAGCCAATCATAATACATAGGTTTAAAAAAAATATTTTCTAAGATCTCTATAATGCGGACACACGAGGATAAAGTGGTATTTATTTTCAATTTTCTCATGGTACATGATTTGCATATTCGGTCTACAAGTTGGGTATTATCATATATTCCTGTTTTAATAAAAATATTGTTTTAAGAGGCTCTAAACCTAGTTAGTACTGCTCTATATTTGTTTTAATGTACAGAGTCTAAATATCATTTCCCCAAAAAATTGTGTTTAAATAGATAATAAGTCTGTAATCTTGAAGAATTATTAATTTTCGCATACCAATTTTTGCATAAATGTGTCCAATCATCTTTGTTTTATAGAGGCAATAGGAATTTCAATATCAAATTGATTATTCCAGACATAATCTAAACCCGTTACTCGATAGAATATCTTTTAAATAAGAGGCCCATTTTATTCCACCATAATAACGACCGGAGTCAGTATCGGATTAAAGGACAAGGTATGATTGTTTTACAATTGAGGATTCATTATGTTTAATTATCTTTTTTCATATTATCTTAAATTACCGGAACTCGACCTAATTCTCCACAACATTTGTGTAATGATAAGAAATATATATTTGAAGTTTGAAGTAGATATCTTAAAAAATAAAGAAGTTATTATATTTCTTAAAGAAAATCCTAAGTTCAAAGGGAGATAAATCTGTAAATATTGCTTCAAGAGTTATGAACATTGTCACATAAAATGTAAATGATTATAAGGAATAAGTATTTGAAGTTTGAGGTAATACCTTTAAAAAATAAAAAAGTTAAAATAAAAAAATAACATTTTTCTAGTAAATAAATCTAAGTTTATGGGGAGATAATTCTTGCGATATTGGTGCTAGAGTTATGAACCTTGTCACATAAGATGTGGATGATGATAACGTAAATATATTTGAAGTATGAAGTTGATCCCTTTAGAAATAAATAAGTTACAGTAAAAAATAATATTTTGTATGGAAAATTCTAAGTTCAAAGGGAGATAAATCTAAAAATATTGGTGCTAGAGTTATGAACATTGTCACATAAGATGGGGATGATGATAAGGTACATATATTTGAAGTATGAGGTTGATCCCTTAAGAAATAAAGAAGAAACAGTAAGAAATAGTATTTTTTGAGGAAAATTCTAAGTTCAAGGGGAGATAAATCTGAAAATATTGGTGCTAGAGTTATGACCCTTGTCACATAAGATGGGGATGATGATAAGGTACATATATTTGAAGTATGAGGTTGATCCCTTTAGAAATAAAGAAGTATCAGTAAAAAATAGTATCTTTTAAGAAAAATTATAAGTTCAAGGGGAGATAAATCTGAAAATATTGGTGCTAGAGTTATGAACCTTGTCACATAAGATGTGGTTGATGATAAGGAACATATATTTGAAGTTTGAAGTTGATACCTTAAGAAATGACAAAGTTATAGTGAAAAATATTTTACTGCACCAAAACTTTAATCTAAAATCTGGACGCGGACGCGGACGCCGACGCCGACGCCGACGCCGGGGCGAGTAGGACAGCTCTCCATATACTTCGTATAGTCGAGCTAAAAAAGTACATGTGACACATGTTAAGCGATTCCTTATTGAGTTCTTTACCAGTTACCATTTTTGAAAAGTGTAATGCCAAGATATTTAAGAGATTTAACAATTTCTATTCGTGTGTTGTAAATAAAGAAATCATAGTAGGAATGCCTGTCGTTTTCACAATTCATGGTTGTAGTCTTAGACTTATTAATTTTCAACCCCCAAAGTTGACAATAATTTTGAATTACATTTAACATTAGTTGTAATGTAAACAAGCTGTACAAATTTGTGAACATGTATTCGTCAAAAACCCGTTTTAAATGATTTATACAATATATTTCAGATCAAACGTTTCAGCAACTTACGGATGCTACAGTCACTTCCAGAATAGCCCAAACAGCAAACACTTCTATAGCATGTCTGTGCACATGGCTGGTAAACGGATCTGTATTTAATTAAAATGAATAGTTGAGACATTAACAGGTAAAACTCAGTATGTTCTCCAAAAAAACAATAACATATGCAGTTATAAAATGTTGTTTTTATGCTAGCATTATTAAACATAAATTCAGTAGTAATTTTGGCAGAATTGAATATAGTTATAATTCAAATGTCAAATAAAGTTGTTTAGTGAAATATTGAGTATATTTATGCTTAATAAAATTATTCAGATGTAATAAGTTACAATTATAAAAGATACAATAAGAGACAACGTGTTGACAAATAAAACTTTAAAAACCTTTCAGAAGACACCCCACTTATAAAGGAAGATAATTTGTATGAATATAAACATAATGACATGCCGGGGTTGCCTCCCTTTTAATAAACTGCATTGATGGAATACAGAATACAGAATACATTTCGTATAATGGTAATTATTATGAAAGAAATTACTGCAACCAGTGATGTATCATTTTTCGCGCCCGGTCTTCTGGAACTAACAAGAACAGATATAATGTGTGGAAACATGATTATTTATCAAGTATTGGTCAAACTCGATTACTGTTTAAATTTTGTATCAGTATCGTATTTCCTCTCCTGCGCATCGTACATATATACAATGATGCAGCAAACAGTTAAGAGTTTGATTTTTTTGCGCCGCAAGTCAAGTTAACTCTTCTTTTGGTTTCAGTTGCTAGCCCTCATTTAGTTACCAAGTACTTTATTCGTTTGAAAATTTCTAATATTTATTATAATAAAAAGACATGATCCTTAAGATTTCTATCACAGCTGCTGTCGTTCAAATCGAGTTCATGCAACACAATAGCTAAGAAACATAAACAATAGCATCATTAAACAAACAAACTAATTAGATATTAATATCTTACAATGACACATATTCAATATATAAGCAATTATCAATGACTTCCCTTACTAATATGTAACATACACAAACCTTATGGAATGAATTAAAACGAAGCATATGAGTATAAAACGAATGGTTATGATATTTACCGGTATCTGGCGCATCTGCTCCAGCCCCAAGTTCCGCAACTTGTGTAATATCTCTGCGAAGTTAAACATGATCCTTGACAGGAGTATGTTGTCCTGCAGTAACCGGCAAAGATACCCCTTAAAAGTCAAAGTAAAATAAAGATATGAAAACGCTATGGTGGCATATTTATACCAACAGTAACCTTATAATTATCGATTTAATTATCTTACTTACTAATTAGTTTTCGTGTTAACACGATAAATAACATATATTTATCAGACTAACTAAATATTTCTTTTCTGTTAGATAAATAACGAATAAGTATACACTAAAAGGTGCCAAAAAATAGTAGGAAATTATCTGTTCATCTATATTTTTGTAGTAATTTACTTAAGTACCAGATAATTATCTGTATAACTAAATAAATTTTCAGTTAATAGATTATGCGGAATGTTTCGGACATATCCATTGCGTTTCTTAACTGAACATTTCATTAGTTATACAGATAACTATCTGCTATTTTTCTTACTAACTAACTAACGTGGAAATTATGTTTGATATAGGACTATACAGATTATTTATGTGCACAATCTCAGATCATATTACATTTATATATATATCGAGAAATAATATATGTTTAAACTAATTAATATATTTTAAGTTGTAAGCAAGTAATGTTTTTTGTGTTTATTATTTTTTAAAAAGAAAGACTTCTCTGTCGACCTTGCTTGAGTTTAGTCTCGACATTTGAAAAATTATGTCCCTTGTAGCAGTCAGTCATGTCCTTTCCATCCAAAACTTAGAGTCATTCTTTGTGTAATGATTTTAATTTTGTTTTTGATTTTGTTGGTCATTTTTATATGAAGAAGACCTATGTACTCGTATTATACTTATTAAGAATGTGATAATTAAAAAGGATTGAGAGATTGATATTTGAATGTTTTATTTACTTGTTTTTTTATAAGACAGTTGTGAATATTTTAAAAGTTATTAAGAGAAATTTGTATTATTCTTGATTATAGAATCATACTTTCATATCTTACAGTAATTCCTAGAAATAACTGTTTCTATTTGTTATGCACTGATGCTTGTAATTTACAGTAAATACAGTACAGAAAGTTAATAGTGACAGAGATATAATTTACAGAGTCTGATCCATAAATAAATATTTTATACACCGTTTTATGTTTAAATGTCGTTGTTTATAGTTGTCGTATTTTGGAGCTTCATGTGTATTTGTAAGTTAAGCGTATAGTGTATATTGTTTTATAAGTAAATGATTAAGTGGTCAATAGATGCAGGTACAAGTAATAGAAAGAGCTTCGTAACATAAGGCTATCTGTACGAGGGGCTTAACCTCAGAGTATAGTGTGTTGATGTTCTTTTTCTTTTGTATCATAGACCAAAAAAATCTCGTTCCCTGTTGTCACAGTATGAAACCCCAGAAAAAAGTAACCAATAAACGAGCATCTGAATATGATATATCAGTCGCTGTCCGTTTCCCTGCCCTCACGATAAGTAAACTGAAAGGGTCCAAAATCTGATATAGAACAACCATACGTACACGTCAACTCAGTAAGAAAATGCCTGTCTGTCTGTTTGCTTTAAGTCCCGTCCATCAGTGTCATTCTTGGATGGATTTTTAAATAAATTGCACTAATTTGTGGCACATTGAGATAATATCACAAACTAGTCCAAGGTTTGAAGCTCTATGCTTAAAGTTAGACCTAAAATTGCTTGACAAACGTTGTCTAGTTTAGGGTACCGTCATTCATAGTTGGATTTTAAAATAATTAACCATAAACGTGCTGCTTAAAACAATATATGAAAGGATGTACTTTAAATTATTAGTTATCCTTCAAACAGAGAAAATATTTTGATTTCAAAGAGCAATGATATTTGTATGTTAATTGTGCAATAACATGTACTAGGGCATGTTGTACCAAATAGCCAGTTCAACAGCCCATAGATCAAATACACAATTTTGTTACAGGTCTTAAGTGGGTGGTCTGAATTCACGAATCTGTTTAAACAAGTTCAAATGTTGCTGTAATGTGCCGCAATTGAGAAGCTCCGCACAAAAAATGCGCCCAAAACAGATACCTTACCAAAACATTACTAGGCACAGATCATTTTCTTTTTAGATCAAGTACTATTGTACATTATTCTGGATGTTTTGTAAATCATTTAAATTTGCATAATTATACTTATTGTATGCACTGGCCATGAGAGAGGGGCCAGATATTAAATTTAAAAAAATATGTTTTTACTGATGCCTGCCTGGTAAGGAAAGTAATTCCAATACAATCAAGACTTAAAAGACTTGTAATGTTACATGACAAAAGTGCAACATTGTTCTGTTTGTGTCACTACTGTAGTCAGTATTATATTAGATAATAAAACATATCAAAACATGTACATTTCCTTTTTTATCTATAATGTTTCTCTTTCTTTTTCATTTTTTTTAAATATCAACAACTATCATGGTAAGAAATATCAATATGTAAATAAGCCACAACAAAAACTTTCACCGGGTGGCGTCTGTTTCTCCTAAAAATCGTAATAACGGCCGACATCCTCCGGCCATGTGACAATCGGACGGCAGCAGGTGAACATTTTGCTTAACGGGCGGGCGTCGTCGAGTTTCAAATACAACTTTTAAGCTTACGGCGTCCGGACGATATTTTATTTGTGGTCAGTGTGTTTAAAAAAATGATCTGGCGGGGATCGACGGGTCACCGGGCGATATGATTTCGATGGGACGATTGTTTTTTATACAAAAAGGACCGTCCAATTTCAAAGTCAGTGGGACGAACACTGCCAGGGCCGCGCCCGGCGCCCAAATAGACACAAGTTGGCGAACGATTACCCCCCGCACTAGGATGAATCATGCATAGTTTTGTCGTACGGCGATCCCGCGGCTTGAAATTGTTGTAAGTTCAACTTCAGTTTGTTTAAGTTGCCTAAAAATGAATTTGTGAATTCCTTTGGAAGTAACATAAACAGACAAGCCACACAAACACGAACATTCAGTAATTATTTATTGCAAACGTTTCGGCTATATGTCTTCATCAGTGCAAAACATAATAAAATTACCGGAAGCGACGTCATAACGGAACACGCGTAAAATGCGCGAAAAACGTTATGGCGTTTAGCGGCAAAAATATGGTAAGATGTAGAAACAAATATTTATGTTATAGATAAAGCTGGTACATGTATTAAAATGGATCAATAGTGATACAGATGTCTTTTAGACAGTGTTAATAGAAATAAGATAATAGACAAACATATTAATATTCATGTAACACATTATAAATCAAACAATACTTTATTTTTAAGTCGATTTGGAATCATAGTATTTAATTTATGAATCCAAAAGGATTCTTTTCATAACCAGTCCATGTTGTTATCTATAATTTCTATCGGCAAAAATAAAAAATCTGGCAATGAACACTTATTTTCGGTTGATCCGAAATGGATTGCAACATGTGAAACTGGATTTACGTCACAATTTCTTATATCAAATCTATGTTTATTCATTCTGCATGATACATTTCGATTAGTTTGACCTCCGTATTGCTTATTACAGCCTTTACATGTAATGAGGTAAATTACATCACGTGTAGTGCAGTAAACATCATTGTGTAAATCAAAAGAACGACCTGTAATGCTGCTATTAAATTCTGAACCAACAATTATATTGTTACAATGTGAACATCTATTTTGTAAACATTGGCTAGATAAAAATGTGCGGTCAAGTAAAGCATTTCTCATAAGATAATCTCGAATATTTTTAGGACGTCTATAAGCTAAAATAGGTTTGAACTTGGTATGTATCTTTTTAACGCTTTCATTATCAGACAAAAGTAATAGATCCCAATATTTATTTAAGATTACACCAATATTAGGCAGAGATGTATTAAAACATACAGTAAAAGGCATTATTGAACTAGCACTTTTAACGAAAGGACTAAGAGCATCATTTTGGGACATGCTTTGCATTTTAGAAAACGCTTTCTCAATAATAGATTTAGGATAATTTTTATCAGAAAAATATCTATTCAACTGCTTAAAAGTGCCGTCATCGGAAATGACACGTCTATAACGTTTCTCTTTTTTTTTCTTTTTTTTTTGAAAGTAACATGAAATTCATTGTCGAGCAAGAACGTCTACGCGGATTATAATTAAGGCAAAGGCAAACTAAAATTGTTACATTATTTGCATGGCATTACTGTAGTTTTTTAGTCCAATCCATTTATAAATCGCACTCCGCCTGGTTCTTTGAATGTTTCTGTAACATCGATTAAGCAGACAATCGCCCGGCGACAGTTTAATTTATGACCACGCAATGTATCATATTTAAAATCGCAAGTAGTTTGCGAAATCGTCAAAGCGCTGATGTTATAGAAATCGTTAAATGGGACAGCGACAATTTTATTTGTGACCTAGGCATAAATTGAAAGGAATAAATAGAAATATACTGCGTCGAACTAACACTTGGTTTCTTTACATGAGCACAGTACAGTTCTAAGTGGCCTTGTCTCGGATGCATACATTTTCATTTATGTACATAAAATCTTGTGAAAAATTATCCCCTGAAGCTTCAGAAACAAAAGCTAGATATTTTGTATGAAACATTGTGGACTTCTTAAAAGGAGTTCAAATTATGTCCACAAGGCCCCTTATCCCCATAAGTCCTGCCGTAAGGGTCCTAAGTATTCTTTGTATATATTAAAGATCGTGTATGTTGTGATCAAAGTGGTAAACCACATTAAGTGAAATCATATATAACATAATTATGCAAATAAAACAATTTTCAAACATCTAAGAATATGTAAAATTTGTACTGCATAGTTTTGTGCATATTATATGTAATCATTAAAATATATGCATTCATTTCTTATTATAAAATTTGACTAAAACTTTATAGAAAATAAATTTTTTATTACCTCCCTTTATTGACATGAATTACTAATTTTGGTAATATCTTAATAGATAATGTTTTTTGGAACCTACAATATGATTTAAAACCATAAACAAGAACGTGTTTGTTAAACACAAATGCCCCCGGCTCAGATTCTTGTCAGTAGCAATATTTCAAAAAATGTGTACCCATTCACTCAGTTATGGACAGAAA